GGGTTTAGGGTTTAGGGTGGAAGGGTTTAGGGTTTAAAGGTTTGGGATTTAGGGTGTAGGGTTTAGGGAACTCAGGAAATTTGAAAGGTCTTTTTCAGTTTGGAGGGCAAGAGGAGACGAAACTCGCCAAGAACCCGGAACTCTGGAGGGTTTAGGGCTTAGGGTTTAGGGTTTAGGGGCTTAGGGCTTAGGGGTTTGGTGGAATGCTGAGAATGCCAACAAAAACTCGAAGTTTGAACGGCCCAGTTGGCCAAACTGCAGAGTCTAGACTGTCCAAGTACACAACATCATATACAAACAAAAAGTTTGAAGGCCAATGTAGGAAACAAATGGAAACGGTCTTGCTTTTCAAAAGCTATCTACTTAAGCCATCTGGTGGGCAACCACTCAGTTCGCTTGAGCTTGTTTGGGATTTTTCCTTTGAGCAGCTGGCCGCAGGCTGCTTGTTAAAAAAATAAAAACACTGCGCTGGCGCACTTAGGCGTACGTTCAGGGTTTAGGGTGCACTTAGGCGTAGAATCTAGGTGAAAGTGCAGCATTGTGTTCCATTGGTCCATAAATCTTTGCACCTCAACCCTAAACCCTAAACCGTCTCACATCCCACAGGACCACCCTAAATTCCAACCTGCAGACCCTAAGACCCTGACGCTTCAAGCCCTCAAGCCTCACAGTCCTGCGCTGTGGACCTTTCGGTTAGGTTCCAAGTAGGCAGGCTGCTGGGCTGTCAGGGGCTTGCCGGTCCCAATAAATCATCATCAACTCTCCCAAACATCAATCGAACTACGAGACTACTATCCTAAACCCGTGCCTATTTATGCGGCCCTTTGGATCCTGAATCATAGTGGCCCTTAGGGTAAGGCCCCCTACGCCCCCTCCCCCATACCCCTTAAGGGTCCCTATGACTTACGGCCGCCGAAGGTCAGAGAGTTCTTTGCAGCAGCCTTGAGCTCCGATGTCATCGAGGTGGAACCTCGCTGACCTTCCAATATCCCTTCCCAAAGGGTCCTACTTGGAGGGTCGGGGGACTTCGTAAGTAGTTATTCCATAACCCCAAAAGAGTCCCTTTTGGTCACTCAAAAGTCTACTTGATACCTACGTACTAAGTCCCCCGACCCTCCAAGTAGGTACAGTTATGGAGGATACTTCCCCAAATCATAACAGTAATTCCTACTATGGGAACCTTACATTAGACTACATAGATGCTTAGGACCCGTAGCGCGTACTCAACCTAGTAGTAGAGTAGGTAACCTTTAACCGTAACCTTTTTGGGGTACGATAATCCCTATATAAGCCCAAAGGTTAACCTTAAACTTTTGTTTCCCATGATACTGGACAAGTACCCTAAGGGTCCAAGTACCGAATCATCATATACTGTCTGCAATGGTAACCTACATAACTACTATCCTAAACCGGAGAACCTGATTATTGGGTCCTTTGGACCCTTAGGCTAGTTTACGGAATCAACCTTAGATTCTCATAGGATCACGAATCCTAAGGGTCCATGTATCCATACGAGTACAAATTGGCTCTCAAGTACCCACAATATGGAATACTTGAAGACCGAAGTATGTACTACATGAGCACATGGACCCTTAGAGTAATAGTACCCCTAAGCCCTAACCCCTAAACCCTAAATGCTAAACCCTAAACCCCTCAACTTCAACCCTAAACCTAAAACCCTAAACCCGTCAACTTCATCCCTAAACCTAAACCCTAAACCCCTCAACTTCAACCCTAAAGCCTAAACCCCAGACCAAAAAAAAAACTAAAACCTAGAGGAGTTGAAGGTGTTGGGGGAGTCTCTAGGCGGAACCAGCTCTTCAGTTAAGGCTGGATCTTCGGCTTCAGGGTCTAAGATGTTAGGGTTGAGGGTTGAGGGGTTTAGGGTTTAGGGGTTCAGGGGTTCGGGTTTAGGGTTGGGCTGTGTGTTTTGTCGAAGGGTTCTAGGCGTTTTAGGATTGGGGTTTTAGGGTTCAGGATTTAGGGTTTAGGGTTGAGGGTTTGGGGTTGAGGGTTTCGGGTTTAGGATTTCGGGTTTTGGGTTTGGGGTTTAGGGTTTAGGGTTTCCGGTTTGAGCGTATCGGATGGATCAAGGGTTTCAGTAGGGAGCTGGCGTTTGGCGCTCCACGAATTTCGGGAGTTCGGACCTTGGGTCTCAAGGGCTGAGGGATCCGATTTCATACAAGCTTAAAGTAACATAGGGGCCTTTCTAATTGGAATAGGATTCCAGGGTATATTATATGATAACTTTAATAAGGAAGCCCCAAAAATAGTATAGGTAACTATTTAGGCCACTACATTAACTCAATGCTTGGTAGAGCCTTCACCACCCGAAGGGTGCATTGTACTTCAAGAAGCCCCTCCACGCAACTAGTCCCGAAATCTTACCCTTGAAGCGTGGCAAGCGGCAAGCGATAATTTCAAGCCGTTGCTCCTCGTCCTTCGGCTTGTAGGTTGAGGTTGCAGACCGTATAAAGAATATGAAGAACCTTTAGGATCCAAGGACTCATATGTCAAGGCTTTTCGGCCCAAAGACCATACTACATAAGGCCTTTGGACAATTTTGAGCGTTACGGGAAGAAGAATGAGAATGATGACAACAATAGGACTCGTAATAGTACGAGTGATAGTGACAGTTATTATCAGCAACAACAGCAACTTTCTGGCTTCCACTGTGGAGGAAGTGCACATCGTCAAGCAGACCAAAACGCTGGAGAAGATGGTGGAATCCAGGCCAACCATTACTTGAAGACTCTGCTATGTCCTTGGTCTTGGGGTTTGCCTCTTTGCTAAGCTAGAGTAGGTCGGGTTTAGGGTTTAGGGTATTTTAGGTCGTTATCCTCATGCTTAAACTTTCCCAGTCCCCTGCAAGTCAAACCCCAAACAGTGAATCTAAAGGTTGAAAACTGCTTCGATGCCTGTTAACCCTAAACCCTAAACCTTAAACCCTAAACCCTAAAAAAACACCTTAAACCCTAAACCCTAAACCTTTTTACTGGGTCCAGAGCCTGAACCAGGCAGGGACTCTTTGACCTCAAGCAGCAGGCAGAGTTTAAGCTGGAGAAGGACTTTGCGGAGGGGAAGATGACTTGGAATTTCCAGATTGTGAGGGGGATCAGGGTTGAGGGCGGATGGTTGTAAAGTTGCGAGCCCTAAACTCTACGATTATAAGTTTGGGGGCTTTGTGGAACTTGAGTAGGCCAGCGTAGGCTTGTGTGTTTTCTGGTCTCTGTCCATGGGTTTGGCACGTGTTGGAAAGGTCTACTTCAACAAGAGGGCGTCGGTGCACGTGCAGAGGGGAGGTATGAGTAGGGTTTAGTGACGCCCTACGCCTACCTACACGAACAGTGTAGCGATTAAATCAACCCTGTGCAGGCCAAGGAATATTCGGCCCGTACATTCTCAACCCTAAACCCGAAACCCAAAGCCCTAAACCCTAAACCCTTACCCCAAAGACCGACTCAGGAGCTCGTTTTTTCGGGTTTGGGGGCCACCAGCTTCGGCTTAAGTTCGACCTTTCTTACCAGACAGAGACAAAGCACGAACTCGAGGATGTACCTCAGGGATCTCATCCGCAGCTGCTTCGGGCTCAACTAAAGATCCTCTTCTAGCCTTCCAGCATTCCACCCCAGGATCAGATTCAGGTTTAAGTTTAGGGCTTAGCGTTTGAGAGCCAATTCGTCAAGTCTTCGGTCTTCTTGTGCTTTTCGGGACGAAAGCAGCCTTAAGGTATGAGCCCTCAGAGCTAAACCCTAAACCCTAAACCGAGTTTAAGGAAAAACTGGACCCGACGCTTTCTTTGGGAGGACGGGACGCGTCCGGAACACCTCGTCGTGGAAGTTGGCAAGGCATGGGGCCTTTAATGTAGAATTGCCAACACTATTTCGGGGGCTCCTTATTATAACTGTGGTACCCTAGGGGTCCATGTACCCAAATACTATATACTTTTGCCTTTTTGTAGTCCCCATGTAGGTTCTTTGAGGCCAAAGTATATACTAGCTGGGCACATGGACCCTTAGGGGTATATCATACACCAAAACTCTATTCTAGTTATTAAGGCCCCTATACCCTAAACCCCAATAGTAGCCCTCATAGAGCCTTTGTTTAAAGGAGCCCCCAAAACCCCGCTCTACTTATTGTAGTTATCAAGGCTCTTGTATTAGCTCAGGAAGGTCAGGGGTTGTTTCTGTAAGGAGCTCTGGATTTAGGGGTTCAGCAAAGGTGGCTCATACACACCACCAAAGGCTAACTTGCACCTAGAACCCTAAACCCTAAATCCTAAACCCTAAACCCTAAACCCTAAACCTTAAACCCTAAACCCAGCCTCAACCCCGGCCCAGTTGCTCGTTTCTGTACCGGCCGCGCCCTCGCAACCTGGACCTGCACCTTACAGGAACCCAGAGGCTCCATAGATGGGTAGTTCTCTAAATTAGGGTCCTTTTTTGGGGTCCTCATTTTAATACGGCATCTGTTATTTAGGGTACCCCAAACGGGACCATAATTTAGAGAACTACCCATATATGGGTAGTTCTCTAAATTGGGGCCCTATGTTGGGGTCCCCAATATAGTACGGCACCCTTATAAACAGGACGCCAAAACGGATCCTAATTTAGAGAACTGCACATATATCGTACCACTATGGAATGGGGTTTAGGGTTTAGGGTTTAGGGTTATATATTACCATTATGGAAGAAGGTTTAGGGTTTCATAGTACCATTATGGAAGTAGGTCCCAAAAGACCATCCCTCTTAAGGTTTTAGGGGCCTAACTAATTCCATAATGGTATGATATATGGAGCCTCTGGGGAACCTTACAGGAACCCTGGTAGGAAAGGTTTGCAGGGCCCGAAGACGAAGACAACAGATCTTGAGGCTATTCGTAGGTGTTGAGGGTTTAGAGATTATGACCCCGCCAACAAGTCGCCCGAAATTTAAACAACCACCTTGGGCCCCCAGAAAGTCTCGATGAACCTGAAACCCTAAACCCAAAACCCTAAAGCACCTGAGTAAAAGTATAAAGAAATCGGTGCAACACCCTGCCAATGCCAGGTACCTCACAAGGTTGACAGCATCAACCACTACACGGAGCAGGCTTGGAGCTCAAACACATAGGCCTGAATATCTAAGAATGGTATCCTCTTATAGTCCTGGCTGCACGAAAACAAGTTCAAACAAGTATTCTGATTGTCAAAACCTCTAGATGCACTTTGTTGTTGATCGGGTGGCTTCATGATTCTAGGATTCAGGGTTTCCGGGGTTTGCGGGACATCAGTCGTTATGCCGAGGGCTTCAGCAGCTAAAGCTCTATCAGAGCTTGCGGCTTGCGGCAGTTCGTAAGCACCTTGATTGAAGCCATAAGTAAGCATAAGACATGCTAAACTAAGCAAACTAGCTATAACTTGATCTACTACGTCCTATGATGCCTGAAACAGCCAGGAACCTAAACCCTAACCCCTAAACCGTTCCCCAGGTGGCGAAGTTGGAGGCTGACATCACGGAAGAGTTCCATCGCCTCACGAAAGAGTCAGAGAAGGCTGGGGGAAGCCATGGGTACTTTGAGGGTGTGCCCGTAGTCCTCGAAACCTAGCTTTTAGGAGGTACCTGCTTTGAGGTCTAAAGTCTACACTTTGAGCTATTTATTCGGAGTGTTGGGGTAATACCCTAAACCATCAGAACATGGAACCCTACGAAGGTAGGCTGCTGGAGTTCAGGTAGAGCATTGACCCGTGGCCCGAAAAACCCTAAACCCTAAACCCTAAACCCTGACGTCCTAGTGAGGAACCCCAAAAGGTAAGTTCTTTCGGCCACCTCAGGGCAGCTCAAGGTTTGGGTTTAGGGTTTAGGGTTTAAGGTTTAGGGGTTAGGGTTTAAGGTGTAGGGGTTTAGGGTTTAGGGTTTAGGGCCTGAAACCCCGAAACAGGTCGGTGACAGCAACTGCTCCAATGCCTTCGTCACTTTCTCCGACCGGAAGCACGTCGAGATGGCGAAGGACATCCTTGGTGGATAGAGGGGGCTTCAGGTTTGGGGTTTAGGGTTTAGGGTTTAGGGGGCTTAAGGTTGTTTGGGGTTTTACTATGCGTGGTCAAACCCTAAAACCTAAACCCTCACAGTTCACACCATTGGAAGGCTCACTTCTAGAAGAAGCAGCCTGAGCCGTCATCACGCAGGGAAGAAATCGTAATCGGACACGAAATCGTACTGCTGTACTACGGGCTTAGGCCCTAAACCCTAAACCCTAAACCCTAAACCCTAAACCCTAAACCCTATAGGGTTTAGGGTTTAGGGAGGGCCTTGGTTCTTCGGGATGTTCGCCGAATTATTTTCGGGCTTCGAACCATGAACTAACGCAGTATAACAGCCGTATAGGGTTTTAGGGTTTAGGGTTTTGGGGTTTAGGGTTTAGGGTTTAGGGTTTAGGGTTTAGGGTTTTTCAACAGCCCTATACAGACTCTAAGCCCTCAGCCGTAAACCCCCACCCCGAAACCCCTTTCTTCTTGAAGGAGCTCGACTTCTCTCCAGACGAGGATGAGTGGGTCCTGCTCCAATCTTTTTCTCACAGTTACACGGAATCGGTGTTTTCTTAAATTTAGGCGTATAGGGCTTTCACTTAGGGGTTAGTGCTTGAGTGTTTCGGGTTTAGGGTTTCAGGGTTTCAGCGCTAACATCACGAGCTGCGAACGTCGTGCTTCTCCAACTTACCACTGTTAGAGCCAAATTGTTGACCATGACATGGGAGCTTTGAGATTGAACCCCTAAACCCTAGACCCTACACCCAAAGCCCTTAACCCTAAACCCCTAAACCCCTAAACCCCTAAACCCTAAGCCCGTCCAAGCCCTACACTTACCGAAGCCCAAACCTCAAGGCCCACCGCAACTACAGAATCGTGGGTCACAATCCCTACACTTACCGAAACCTCAATGCCCTCCACAACTACAGAATCGTGGGTCACAATCCTTTCAAACAAGTCGAAAGCCGTGGGAATTATTAACACGGTTCAGGGTTTAGAGTTCAGCAAATGCTCATCCCTACCCAAGGGCTCCTATGTGGTTCCTTTTTGGATAGTATACTATAATTCCTTACCAAAAAACCATAACAGACCCAAAAAGGAACTACATTGGAGCCCCGGGGTAGTTTCTCAACCGTGGCTGCCAAGGTTGTGACCGAGCCCCCTGAGCTTAGCATGGTCAGCCTCGCGGCGTGCAGTTGTGCCTCTGTTGTTTCGAATCTTCAATTTAATGTAGGGGCCTCAATAATTGCCTATACTAGCTTGGGGGTTCCTTTTTATAACATAATATACCCCGAAACCCTATTCTATTTATTAAGGCCCCTAAATCACGGGGTTTAGGGTTTAGGCTGTACGCGTTTGGGGTCTGGTGAGCGGCTTAGCGAGCTTCAGTTACCTTTGTCTATGTTCAGTATCGAGTCTTTCACGGCGGTTTTGGTGCCGTTTCGTACCAGTCGGAAATATTATGGTATAGTCCCTATATTATGGGTAATGCAGGATTTATATCATCAACCGTAGGAATTACTTAAATCCTTGAAAGAAGCTCTGATAAACGCCTGTACAATGGCCCAACGTCAATTATTAAGGCCCCTATACAGTCCTATACCATAGAATCCTTAAGCTAGCCCGTGCGCAGGACCCTTAGAGTAATAGCGTTTAAAAGGAAACCAAGCCCTCTAAAGGAGCCCAACTACCCATATGAAGGACCCTTTGCTAGCCCCTAAACCCTAAATCCTAAACCCTTTACATAAAGGAGCCCAACGACTCATAATATGAAGGACCCTTTGCTAGCTCCTAAACCCTAAACCCTTTAAAGGAGCCCAGCTACCCATTGTATTGAGGACCCTTTGCTAGCTCCTGAACCCCAGACCCTTTGAAGGAGCCCAATTACCCATAGTATGAAGGACCCTTTGCTAGCTCCTAAACCCTAAACCCCTCAAAGGAGGCCAACTACCCATAATATGAAGAACCCTTGCTAGCCACTAAACCCTAAACCCTTTAAATGAGCCCAACTACCCATAATATGAAGAACCCTTGCTAGCCCCTAAACCCTAAGCCGTTTAAAGGAGCTTTTTACAATATTGTGCTGCAGCTTCTGCAGCGGTCTCGCGCAGTGCGACGAGTTTGTTTGCCAATTCCTGCCAGCTACCCATAGTATGAAGGACCCCTTGCTAGCCCCTAAAACCTTTAAATAATATGAAGAACCCTTGCTAGCTCCTAAACCCTAAACCCTTTAAAGGAGCCCAGCTACCCATAATATGAGGAACCCTTGCTAGCTCCTAAACTCTAAACCCTTTAAAGGAGCCCAACTACCCATAGCATGAAGGACCCTTGCTAGCCCCTGAACCCTAAACCCTAAACCCTTTAAAGGAGCCCAACTCCCCATACGAAGGACCCTTTGCTAGTTCCTTTATTCGAGGATGGGGCGAGCTCCGCACAGACCAGGAATCGGGCTTCATTTCGGGTTTAGGGTTTCAGGGTTTTGGGTTTCAGGGTTTAGGGTTTCGGGGTTTAGGGGTTTAGGGTTTAGGGTCGGGTTTGGAGTTTTGGGGTAGAACTTTAGGGTTTGCGGCTTAGGGCTTGGGGCTTAAGGTGTCAGGCTTAGGGCTTCAGGGTTTAGGACTCAGGGCTTAGGGCTCTAGGGCTTAATTAGGGCTTAGGGTTTCGGGGCTTAGGGCTTTGGGAGGAAAGCCCCAAACGAGGCAGGCTGACTGTCTGCTACAGCCGGAACGGCTGCGTGATGGACGGTCTTCGTGTCTGGCTCACTAGCTCATTATTCGTCGAAAACTCCCTAATATGAAACCCAAACCCCCGGAAGTCAATGTTTATATCAGGGGGGTAGGGGGCGTTTTCATGTTGGGGGGAAGGGATTAGTCGAGTTGGAAAGCTGTACCGGCTTAGTCAAAGTGTTTGGGGAGTTTTGAAAGTTGTCGGTAGGAGGTTCTTGGAGGGTGGGGGACTTAGTAAGTAGGTAGTAAGGCGACTTATAAGTACCCTAAAAGGGACCCTAATTGGGGTTATGATACTCATTAGGCTATAAAATAACTACTTACCAAGTCCCCCGACCCTCAGAGGGTTGTACGCGGCTTGTGTGGCAAATGCCACGGAGGGCCCAAGAAGCGATCCCTGTCACAAGGATATATGGGTGGTTGTCAAAATTATGGTCCCTTTTTGGGTCCCTAATATAATACGGCACATAATATTTAGGGTACCCAAAAAGGGACCCTGATTTTGACAGCCACCCATATATATTCTTCTAGACAAGCCCGAAATCAACAGCTGTCGAAGAGATCGTGGACCGGAAACAAGGTCAAGAAAGTGATAGTCGTCACCAGGATCGCGGACACACCCGACGACCAATGAAAGAAGTGATGTGATGACCATGATGCCGATGATGATCATGATGATGATGTTGATGATGATGATGATGGTGATGATGATGGTGATGATGATGCTGACGAGCATGATGATCACGATTGGTCGTGCTACCAAGATATTTAATCGTAATCAACTCGAAGTATAGTGCTAATGATAAACGCCCCAAGCAGACCCAAACCCGAACCACGCCTAACCAGGCCCAAATGCCGAAGGAGGCACCAAAGCAGACCCAAACCCTAAATCACACTACACCGCGGAGGTTGGGTGCAAAAAAGGCTTAGGGGAGGGGAGGGGCAGGGAGGGGGGGGGCGGGGAATCGGCATTCATAACGTCGTAAACACCTCAGTTCAAAAACCTATACCCAGCAAAAGGACATTCAGACTGCCTCGGAGTTGGTCGGCTACGCGGCGGTTTTCGGCCTGCCTCTCCGCAGCAGCAGTGGTTTTGGCAGCGGTTTGGGCATACTGATATGATGTAGGAGCTTGAATATACTTACCCATACTGTTCCGTAGAACTTCCCACGATATCTGTATTGAAATTTTGGAGCCGTCGTCGAACTGTTAAGGCCCTAGACGGTTCAAGTTTTGGCCTTTGGGTCTGGGATTGGCTGCGGCTTCAGGCTTCCAAGGTTTCGGACTTAGGGCGGAGGGTTTAGGGTTTAGGGTTTAGGGTTGACTCTGCGGCTGAAGATGAGGCATACTGGGTTTAGGGTTTAGGGTTTAGGCCTGTGAAGCCCTAAACCCTAAACCCTTGTAGGGCTTCGGTCTTTGCTTAGAGGCTGTGCTCACAGGATTGTTATCGGCTTGGCAGGCTTTCGGTCGATGATTCAGCAGGCAGTGCTTGGCTCTCCATTCGATTTAGCAGGTCTGCGTCGGGCTTCCCGGGTTGAGTGTGTCGGTTCTAGATGCTTGCATGGTGCTGAGGGTTTCAGGCTTGATGTTCCTACTTAGAATGTCCCGGCTCCCCTTCCTATGCAGAAACCGACGTCGCATACTTAACAACCGAAAGCACGGAACAATGCCCCCCTCCCCAAACACAGTCAAAACAGAGCTGACGCCCTCTGAGAATCGTGGGCTTGTGGATTATCTTCTTCGCCGGTAGGATAAGGTTTGGCCCAGAGATTCAGTTGAGGAATTAGGGTTTAGGATATAGGGTTTGCTGGTTCCCAGTTCAAGCCCGACGCCACTTGACAGAGGTATGCGGCATTCATGCCGATTTGCGGCTCGGACACCAACTGCGCGATGTGGTGATTCCAGGGGAGAGTTAAACTGGTCAGATTGTCTCCTTTGGGCCCCTAAGCCCCTAAACCCCAGACCCCAAAACCCCTGAATTTTGAACCTTAAGCCCCATCCCTCTTCAGACCGGGTGGCTGAAGCAGGGCAGGCCTAGGCCCAACACACACTTCCCGCAGGGGTTTAGGGTTTAGGAGGGGTTTTGAGCTTCGCGGTTTCAGAGTTGATGGATAAGTAAGTGTGTCGACAAATCCGAGTGTGGCTTGAAGTCATGTTGTCCCGAAAGAATGTTTTCAAATAGAATATATACATCCAAAGATTATCAATATGATACTCAAATATATCAATTATTACATCAAAAATCAGTAGTATCACCAATATTTATAGAATTTAAAGCCATGGAGGAAAGGCTAGATTTAATGATTGAAGTTTCATTTGTTTTTTCTTTCATGTCTCTGCATGTTTTCAAGGAGGGTTGCTGTGTGTGGTTCAGGGTTTACGCCGTGGTTTTGCCAGGATGTCACACACGCCCAGCAGCGTCTGAGAGTCCCAGCGCCAAGAAGTCTTCAGCCTTCGCCCTTATGTAGAAGTCTGCAGCGGTTACAGCGGTTCCTCACAACAGCTATATAAACTCCCCTGAAACCTTCTTCAGTAGTCTCATCTTTTGAGGAGCTGCAAGAGTGCCTCCTAAAGACAAGCCTATCTCAGATACTAACAGGCAATCTTTCTGGAGGCTCGTTTTTTGGTGACCTTTACTCTAAACCCTAAACCCTAAACCCTAAACCCTAAACCCTAAACCGTTTAAAGCATCTAGGAGATGCAGGTCGGAAACTCAAGGATCCCCCAAACCCTAAAACCTACCTGGACCCCAAAGAAGCTACGGTTTTTGGGGCTCCTTATTATGATTTCTTCATATAAGTCCTCAAAAAGGTAGGTTATTTGGGGGTTGCCGAGAATAGGGGACCCTAAGATAGTACCCCAGATAGTAGGATCCTTATTATAAGGCCCCCAAAATACGGTACCCCTTATTCTCGGAACCATTTGGGGTTAAGGTAGACCACAAAAAAAACAAAAACTAAACCCTCAAGAGCCTCAGGAACAGGAGTCGGACATTCAAGAGGGTTGAGGGTTTAGGGTTTAGGGTTTAGACTTTAGGGTTTAGGGTTTATAGGGTTTAGGTTTCAGGGGTCTCTGAAAGCCTTATTCTAGGGGTTCGCCCATAGGGCGAACCATTGGGTTTTGGTTCATATTATGTGGGCACGTGGAGCCTCAGAGTCAGGAAGCCTCCATTCGTTCAGTTTAGGGTTTGGGGTTTAAGGTTTAGGGTTGGTTTGACGTGTTTTGTTCCTGTCTTGAACTTCCTACAAAGGCGTCGGAATCACCAATCTGGCGAACAGCGTCGATCTGGGCCCGCTCTGGGCTTCTCTGGCTTCTTGGCCAAGATTCCGTAAGAGGAATCTCTGAGCGCAGCTTAAGGTAGAGGATTTACGACACATGGTGGAGCATATTCGATTTTTGACATGTAAACGCAATGCTGGCATGCACCGAATTCTGAAGTGGATGCAACATCTTCTGTTTCCTCTGTTGTTAATACCGCAATATGTTTGGCCTTGTTGTTACGTCCACTATGATCCCTAGTGTAGCGGTTGCTGTTGTTGGTATCACGGCTGGTTATTGTCACCGGGACCGTTTGCACTGTCACGCACAGTCTCTTTGCAGAATTGTCTCTGCTAGTTGGAACTGCCGCTGCATCTCCGTATGCATGTAATGTAAGAATGAAAGCAAGCAAGCAAGCAAGCCAGCAAGCCAGCAAGCGATCCAGCAAGCAAGCGCGCACGTCACTGAGTAAGTAAGTAAGCATGTACGCAAATATTTATGTATGTAAGTAACTAAGCTGTTGGTCCTTACGTAACCCGGCTAGCTAGAATAGATCCCTAAACCCTAAACCCTAAACCCTAAACCCTAAACCCTAAACCCTAAACCCTAAACCCTAAACCCTAAACCAAATTAGATCCCCCCAATATTGTCAAGGCCCTGAGTCCCAAAACGCAGGCCTCGGCGCTCAACCCTCATTTCGCTGTCGCCTTCGAAACCATTAAGCCTTAATTACTGCCGAAGCGCGAAGCCTCATATATATATATATATATATAAATAAATATATATACACTTATGAATCAAAACGTGGCCCCAAAAGGGGCTAGTCTAAAGCACGGGATCCTTGAAGGGACTTCATGACATGATACTCTTACCACTAACAGGGTATCGCAACAAGAAGCGTGGTTGAGACGAGTTCACACCTCAAAACAAACCTTCAAACGCCAAGCCCTGGGTTCAGGGTTTGGGGCTTATACTTTAGTTAGGGTTCACCTGGGAATAAACCTTCAAACCCCTAGGGCCCCTAGCCCTAAACTTTAAACCGGAAAACCCCAGACCATCCCAAGCCTAATACAGGGGTTTAGGGACTTACCAATACTACCGTGGGGCTTCCTTGTTATAACTCTAGTCTAGTATACACCAAAACCCTATTCAAATTATTAAGGCCTCGACATTATCGACCCTAAAACCCTAAACACTAGACCTAAGGACCTAAACCGATACTCCTCTCTCGCCGCTCGAGGCTCCGACCATGGGTTTGACGATCTTCCTATCGTTCCTGCCCACGGTGCCCTGGGTTCTGGAGCACCCAGAACCCCCCAATGGCCCTTTAATAAGGCCCTTGTGGTCCTTAATAAGCCTTAACAGTGGGTATGTGGAGCCATAGTAGAGGTAGTTGGGGTCTAGGACCATACTTGAATACTTATTTTTTGGACCTCTTCCTTAAAGGAGGGGCCATTGTGAAACACAAATCCACACTTTTTCCTCCCTGGCTACTTCAAAGCCCACGGTGCATCATCGTTGAAATGCCGCTTCGGGTTTGTTTGGTTTGGGATCCCCCGGCTTTGGGCTTATACGGTTTGCGTGTAGGTTTCGTTTCGGGTTTAGGGTTCAGGGCTTCGGTTTGCTCTTTCTCATTGAGGGTTTTCGACCAAGGTTTCTGAATTTATGGACTCGTGTGAACAGGGTTGCAGTTTTCTTGATTTTCGTTGCGACTCGTTACCTGCGTGCCGGATTTTTACATTTAAGATCGAGTGACACATTATCTTGCAAGCTCAGTTAGGGGGAAAAGTTAAAAGGGTGAATTCAACGAAGTCTTACGTTTGAGTCCAGATCCTACTTACTGCTGCTGCTGAAACTGCGGCTTGCTAAATGGGATCTTCCGAAAATTAGGTTACCTTATGTTGGGGTCCTTATAATAGGGATCCTACTATTTAGAGTACTATCTTAGGGTCCCCTAATCTCGGAAACCCCCAAATCAGGGATCTGCACTGAGTTCCTGAACAATAGAGACGGTTGTAGATTTGAGCTTCTCTGCCCTTACTAAGCGGTCTCTTAAGAGTTGCTACACGCGTTTCCACTTCAAGGCTTCCTATATAATACGGGCTCACGTAAGATGGTAGTCTGAAATGTGCACTTTTCCGGGTTCCAAGTTAGCTTGGAGAAACGTGCGAGCCTGATTTGTGTACTGCCTTTTGGTGTTGAGCTTGCGAGGTAAAAAGTAATCGGTCAGCTTGAGAAGAAGTATAGGGAAGAATTGGCCTTAAACCCTAAACCCTGAACCATTCGCATCCTTCCTTCCCCAGGTGCTGATCCTAATCATCGACAACTTCTACTCACTGCGGTGCTCTTCTCGTGTCCAGGACTCGATATGCAACGGAGCTTTATAGGGGCCTGAATAATTGCCAAGACT